CCAGGTGCTCCCAGCCACAAGAAGGACCCCGCTTTGTCATGTCCCCCAACCCGTCTTCTGACCCCTCTGTCAGCCGGAGCAGCCAACAGCAGGGTGGCAACCCACGGCTGCCAGGTGGCAAGGACATCCCGGAGAGGACAGCCAAGGGTGGGGGCTCATCCAGCAGAGCTGGACCAGCCTGATGCCAGAGTCCGGGCAGACCTCACCAACAACATGTTTCTCCACTGTCGGGCTTGTCCTGGCAGAGCTCAGACATGGCCGGAGAGCCTGGGCGCTGCACGGGGGAGGTGGCACCAGGAGGACTCTGTCCCGAGCGCGAGCGCTTCCCGCTCTTCATAAAACACAAAAGCAGGTCCCAAAGTGCAGAGGCTCCGAGGTTACGGCGGGTGACTGTGAAGAAGAGGGAGGTGAAACCAGCCAGCAAGGACCTAGGGCTGTCATCCTGCCCCACAGAACGTGTGAAAGAGCTCACCTGCTCTCTGCTTTAAGGAGAGGGCAATAATTGGGGCTGCCGTATCGAGATGTGTGGTCAAGTCTTGCTGAAGGCACGGCCTTGTCCTTAGCTCGGCCTGCACCTCCCCACCGAAGCGGGTCTCATAGAATCATGGAAAGGTTTGGCTTGGAAGAGGCCTTCAAAGGTCATCTGGGTCCAACCCCCCTGCCATGGGCAAGAACATCTTCCACTAGATCAGGTGTCTTTGGATTTGTTTCTAGATGACAGCTCCGGAGAGGAGTCCCAGTAATGGTGGCTGAAGCATCCAGCCTGGAAGGGCTCGGCAGCAGGCAGGAGCTGCTGGGCCGGAGCTGGGCCCGTCGGCAGCTCTTCCGCCGGAGCTCCAGCCGGCCCGGGGGCTGCCGAGCCCAGAGGTGGCCCATGGGGAGAGCTGGGCGAGCGGGGGGCCACAGCTGGCGAGTTGCCCCCTGGGCTCGGGTCGAGCAGGTCAGGTTTCGGTTCCTACGTGTTCCAGGGTTTGTTGTGCATTTTTTGTCACCATGACAGCCCTGTTGGGACGGAGCACGGTCCTTGGCCGGCTCCTGCGGTTCCTCATGCAGCCCGGAAAAGGAAGCCCGGGAGGAGGCTGTGACTTGGTCCGGAGCCCATGGTGCGGACAGGAGCCGAGGAGGAGGTTGCACAGGTCCTGTGACGTGGTGGAGGAGCACGGACACGGCTCAGTGCGCAGCTCCCCAGGGATCTTTCCCTGCCTGGGATTTGCAACAAAGGTCAGCATGTTCCCAGGCTGTCTCCTGTCCCAGGAAGCTTAATGAGCTGCATAATACCAGCGCTTACCCGAGACACACCGAGGCTCACAGCTCCGGGTCACTGAGACACGGCTTTGGATGCCGGGCTTGACCCTGCTAGGACCATGCCTATCTTCAGACCTTCACTCAGAGTCCTGGGGTGCTGCAATAGCTCCAGGGTGCAGCTCAGAGCACGCATGAGAGCACTAGTGCAACCTCGGAGCACCCTCTGCGCTCACAGAATCACAGAATCACAGAATGTTCGGGGCTGGAAGGGACCTCTGTGGGTCATCCAGTCCAACCCCCTGCCGAAGCAGGGTCACCTAGAGCAGGCTGCACAGGACCACATCCAGGACGGTCTGGAATATCTCCAGAGAAGGAGACTCCACAACCTCCCTGGGCAGCCTGTCCCAGGGCTCCGTCACCCTCAGAGGGAAGAAGTTCTTCCTCATGTTCAGCTGGAACTTCCTCTGCTTCAGTTTGTGCCCGCTGCCCCTTGTCCTGTCACTGGGCACCACTGAAAAGAGCTTGGCCC